ATATATATATATATATATATATGCATGCTGGGCTGAAGACTAATTAAATCTCTTGTTATATTTTTATATAGAAATGGTAAAAGACTGCCTCATTCTTTCCCTGTGCTAAATGTTTAAGGCGAAACAGATCAAGTTGAGTGGTTGTGTGTTCTTCCCGTCGAGCTTCATTACTACATTTATGATAAGACATTTCTCTGGCTGTGCCATAGTGTGGGAAGGCTGTGAAGGGCTGAGGCCTCTGATCAATCCAGAATGTCTTCTTGAAGACCAGTCCTGCTCTTCCTGTGTGTGTGTGTGTGTGTGTGTGTGTGTGTGTGTGTGTGTGTGTGGGTATGTGTGTGTGTGTGTGGTGTGTGTGTGTGTGATGTTCTTCCCTCTACCGGCTCCAGGTTTGATGTCCCATTAAAGAGGCCTTGCAGACATCAGACCAGTCACTCAGAAACGGAAAGTGGGACTCGGGGGACACTCAGGATGTTCATCATTAGGCTTTGGTGCCATTCACCCAACTCCAAACCATCGCCTCACTGAATCAAAAAATAAAAAAAAACAAGACAACTTCAGAAATCTTTGGGTGGAGAAACAGAGAAGAGAGAAGAGCTCAGAGGGATGGGTGGGGATGGGGGGAGCAGAGGCAGAGGTGGTGTTGTGGGGGTGTGGTTGCACTTAGAGATATTTAAAGGCGAAAGAGATGGGCTTTGTTAAAGATGCGATTCCCCTGGGTTCCCCTCCTTGAGTCGCAGGGATCTGATAGCGCGACGCTCCTGTTCGAGCAACACCTCCTTTGCTGGGGGGAGATAGGATGGTGTGTAATTATACTGCAAGGGCTTTCAGGGCCCTGACATACCTGTCACCTGGGAAGGAGAGGGATGAGAAGACATTTGCATACCTTTTAGTTCTACTTCAGAATATAGAAACTTGTCCTTTCTCATTTGTTTCTGACAATTGTGTTTTTACCTTTTTTTTCTCTTTTTTTTTTACATTTTATTTTCTCCTTCCTTCTGTCTGCCTGAAGAGGCTTGCTTTGGAAGTTCAGGGCTCGTTCTCAGTGCTCATTTGATGACTTTCAGGAAAAAAAAAAAAGTGCAAGCGAGAGAGCGCCTTTGATTTGGATTTGAGAAATGGTTACTAATGAGAGGAGATAATCATTGTAAGAGTTGCAGCTTTTGTCACCAATTCAGTTGTTTGAACAAATTCATTTCATCATTTGTATAATAACAAATTGAAATTAATAAGTGACAGTGATAATCAGTGATCAGACGCAATAATAAGAACAATAAAAGACAGTCAGAATCTTTCAAAGGAAGCGTGGATTCAGTAATAACAACCAAAATGAGCGGACAATGCTCTTCTAAAGTGATTATCATCAATGGTGATAATTATTTTCTGCTCATCAGGACACATTTCTACTGGCTGAATACTTACTTTATTATTCAGTGCTGGATGCAATTTGTCACAGAGCATCCATATAGTACAGTGTATAGTGCTGGAATATTGATCTACTTGATCTACAAAGATTACAATATAACATACAGAGAAATGTTATGACCTAATTTTGAACATGTCTGCAGTGTTTTCGCATCCAGCGCAAACAGAAGCTGCATCCATGCATTAACATTGCTTTACTTCAGTTTGGTGAGCTTGATGTTTTCCACGTGCATGACAATTGGGAGTAAATAATGTTTCCTCGTCTCATCAGTGAGGCGAAAACCTGATTCTTTTCCCTTTGTTGGAGAGAGAGAAGCTGGAGGAGAGTGTGAGGGAGAGAGAGAGAGAGGGAGAACTGCGTTACCCACAATTGTCGGCAGCATCTTTGTACAGGTAGCTAACAGAGGAGTGGACCCCACCGCGTTCCCTTTCATGTCTAACAGCAGGGTAGAAATGTTAAATTGTAGCGGCCCCTCTTTATATGTATATAAAAATGTCCTGAACAAGATGCTTATCTTAATAGATGAAGTAGGAGCAAAAAGACCTATAATTTTAATCAAATCTGGGCCTCATTGGTGTGACGGTGTTGAGTGCTATTGAAGCTTAAAATTCATGTTATTGGGGGGCTCGGAGAAAGGGACTCAGCGGGTGGTGTCTCGCAGTGTAATTATCCCTCACTTACAGGTATTTCTGTTGCCACAGTCATTATCTTCCCTTGTAAAGAGGAAATCAATTTGTACAGATGTATATGAGGAATGGAAGATTGCCCAGAGAAATAGAAAAGAGGAGAAAAGAGGCATTCTCATGAAAGAGGGACAGTGAAAATTGAAGATAGATGACTTGTTATTGGTCTGCGTGCGGGGCTTGTTTGTTTGTTCGCCTGATTGGCTGCAGTTACGGTGCCGTTGCATGCAGGAGAGTGGCACAATGAAAAGCGTGTCTTTGAATTCAACTCATTATTAAGTTTTATTACTGTGTTCCAAATAAGAGCCCACTATCACATTTACTGACTCCATAAAATCCTGTTTGTGGAGCTGCTCTCAAAGAAGCCCAAATTCAAAACTGTCCACAGCTTTTCTTGTCTTTTCTTTCTTCAGGACATAAGAGAGTTTAGTAGACTTAGCTTTGCAGCATTTTTAGATATACTTTATAGAATCTATCTTTACAAAGAAAGTACATCTAACTTAAAAATACAGTGCCAGACATCCAAGAGTAAGATGAGGAGATGGGCATTAATGTCATGTCTGTGTGCTCAGTTTAAAGCTGAAGTCAGGGTGTGGTTAGCCTAGCTTAGCATAAAGATCAGAAGTAAGTGCTTTTCATCATGCCAATGTGTCTCCTTGCTTTCCTCACTGGTGTCATTTCCTTGCATCTTGACTTGAAGGATGTGAGAGAGGTGTGAGGAAGAGAAGCAAAGGACACACCTGTGATTCCTTGCTTTAAGCTACTCAAGAAGTCTCCTCTCTCCTTGAAATGCATTCAAGGGACTGGAAGATCCATGGTAGCGGAGGAGGAACCATTTCTGGGTTGTAGGGGGAGAGAGGACACAAAAAAACATAAGTTAGTATGATGAAAAGCATCCTGTCTGGACTGACAGACAGACACTGCCATAACCTATAGCCATGGCACAAGTCTGGTTTAACAAATACACCTACCAGCAACTATAAAGCTCAAAAACAATGCATTTTGTTTTGTTATTATAGATGTCACCGTGCTCAGCCATAGGTTTCAGAGGGTACAATTTAAAGCTTGGATTAGAGTTTTTCCACTGGAATTTTTCAGTTGCTGGCACCAGTCCTCGAGTGATTCCGAAAATCACCATCAAGACACAGATCAGAAGTTAAATTATCCACTGACTCTGTTACATTGTGCTGTATGTTTGTCTTTTTAGGGAAAAGGACAACCAGCCTATTTGAAGAACAATGAATCAGCTTACACATACAGTCGAAACATGTCAAGGTAAACTACATCTCCTTAAAAACTCATTGTCTGGAAAAAAAAAAAAAAAAAAAAAGAAACCTTTCTACACTGAATCTAATTTGGGTTGACAAAATGAACCTATTTACACCACTGTGACAAGTCACGCTTCTTTACATGCATTGTGTGTAAAGTTTGTGCTCATTGAATGCATACAGTCTTTTTCAAAAATAACTTACAACGTTGGTAAAACACCTAATTTTTAGGTTTATTTCCTTACGTTTAAGCAACAAAACTCCCTGGTTGGGTTTAGAAAAAACACCATAGTTTGGCTTATAATATGATTTTTATTAATGTCATGTAATGTCAAGTGACATACTGTAAAACTTATGTTAAAAGCCTGGTCCCAATTAAACGCACAGTCCCTTTTACTAGCGGGATGAGGCTACATATTTTGACAAACGCCTGTCTCAATTAGATGCCTGGTCTAGTTGCCAACCAGTTCATTTTTATAGAAGTTCTTTAGATGTCTGAAACAGGTTGTTGGCTACACATTTAAGCTAACTTTAGCTGCTTGGATCACACTTACAGATATAAGTAGTTTAAACTTTTGTCGATGTGGAGATGTGTTAGCTCAGTTAGATTCTCCACAATTCAATTGTTTAGCTCATTTTACTGAAACTACATGAGAACCAAACAAGACAGCAGTTCATTGAGATTTACTACCCTGGTAAAAAAGAGAGACAAGAAAAAAAAAAGTGGTGACTCCCCATGTTACCTCTGAAGCGGTCATGTAGTCAGAATATGAGGCCATTCTTCGATTACCCAAGAAGGTATTCATATCCCTTCATATTCCATCAAAAGAATCAAAATGATTTTTTCATAAAATTAATCTAAGTTGTGAGTATTGTATTAACAGGATAAAGTGGTGTTGTGTCAGTATGCCAGGTGCCGTAATCCTCAGGTGCCATAAAACAAGTGTCGTAAAGCTTTCTTTGTCTGATGCACTGTCTGTCGGAGCTAGATCAAATAAATAATTCAGAATTGATATATTATTTGAAAACATTTTTTATACAAGTAATATTCATACTGCTTTAAATAAATATTTTGATCACATTTCCTCATCTTTTGCTGAGCAACAGTTTTGTGTGAACGGAATTAAAAGCCTGTCTTGAATAGACGCCCGTCCCAAACATACTGTATGCCTGTTGAGTTCAGTGAATCAAGCAATTCATTTTTATGGTATGTCACCACTGTAGCATGCTACACATACTAGCACTCTACTTACACTACAGGGTCCCAGGTGAAAGTCCTCATGTACTGTGCAAACATGGGGTTTTGCTGTAAGTATGCTGGTATTAATGACTGCAGAAGGTCGTTGTTTGCAAAATCCTGTATATATGATCTGAAATGAAAACCATAATAGATAGAGCATTCATTCTTTTTGTAGCAGAAAGCTAAGGATTCTGTCCACTGTGTCATCATGTTGTACACTCATAATGATGTCTCTCTGTTCATAAGAATTACCATATCTCAAAACTAAATAATGTACATTGTTAAACTAACTTAATGGAGTGTTAAGAAAATTTGTTTATGTTTCTAAATGTAAGAATCTTTTCGATCAATATGTTTGTGTTTTTATTTTGTAAAATCTGATGAAAAAACATTTCCATATTTATCTATATGACATTTTCAATACTTTTGTCAAGTATTATGGCTTATTAACCTTTTAGCTTAGGTTGTACAGATTTTAGGGATATAAGACAATTAAGATACTCCCAAGAAATGACATCACAGTAAGCAATAATACCAATGTAGGCCCTGGCAAACCATTGCTATTACAGAGTTCAGAAGGTGAAGTTTCAAGATAAAATTTAAAAAATGTATGCATGCTGGTCTGAAGACACCATGTGTTTGATATATTTTGTAATATGGGGACTATAATGTGTAGTTCACATGTTAAACAGTTACACAGTTACAACATGACTATCAAACTGATATCTATGTATAAAATCACATACACACACTTCCATATTATCAATAGCTTTCAGATACAATGGTAGCTCCTTTTCTGGACTTGGATATCCTTGCCATTTAGATACTTAAAGGAATAAGTAAAGGCTCTCTGTGTTCTGGTCTGTGCTGAACATGTACAGCTTTTCCAGGCTGTAGATTGAAGCCTCCATGTTCCTGTCATGAGGCCCAATCATCTGGACACCACACTGATGCTAGGACTGTTAGTCTGTTTTGATTACTTAATGAAAGTGTTTATCTGGCCATGATCATTTGTTCCTCTTGTTTTGGCCCTGGGCGGCATAATGAGAGCAGCCTTTTGATTGGAGGACAGATGATGTGGATGACGGATGTCTGCAGTCCGGCTGGCGAGTCATACAGTATGGCTACTAAGTAAATTACTGCAATTAAGGTCAGCCTCTGTCCTGCTTTACGATAGTCAGGAGAAATAACATCACCATCCACACACACACACACACACACACACACACACACACACACACACACAGAGGCTTTATTTGCTGTCTGAGACATGACACCATTACTGTCCGGTCTCGAAACGAGCTGTCCTGATCGGTCAGACCTCATCGCTAATTAAGCCACAGTATTTTGCAAACATATTTTGCAGATGTTAGAAGATGAGCTGCTGTCCCTCTGTGGTGTCCAGCCCAATTAGTCCCGTTAGAGCCAGGCCTGTCTTGAGAAGGGGGGGGGGCACCGCCTGGAGGTGGTCAAGACAAGGCCGAGACACATACAGACAATGTCTGAGATTAAGAGGCCGTTTACACGTCGCCGGCTATTTTCATAAACGGACATTTCACCATCTCCGTTTTCAAAAAGATCTTCGTTTACACTTACCCGTGTATATATACACAAGAGCATGCCAAACCTGTAGGTGGCAGTGTAACGAGAGGCTCAAGCCTTCCATGTATCCAATGTCACCATAGCAACATAGGTCGCACTTTTGACACAGGCGCAAGTTCCGGCGCATACTGTGACGTCGGCTGCCTATAACTCCGTTTATCTCCGTTTATCTCAGTTTACATGCAAACGCGCAACCGGAGTTTTCCAAAATCTCCACTCTGGCCGGAGTTTTTAGAAAGACTCGTTTTCAGAGGAGAAATCTCCGTTTGCGTGTAAACGAAGGGCACAAACGAAAGAAGATGTCTCCGTTTATCAAAATCACCGTGTACGTGTAAACGGCCTCTAAGAAAAGCACTTGCACACCATGAAATAATGATGATCATGTTGTGTCCAGCTGGACACCGCCCCTACTAACGCCTGGCTGCTCTTCCCAACTAAGGACATATCTTCTCAAATGACCAGTGGCATGCTGACACCTCACATAGCATTCTGGGGGGTAAGAGACGGCAGAGGCGTGGATGGAGAGTCACAGTCTGCTCTGTGGTCTGATCCAATTGCATCTGGGATAATGAGGCCAAGCACATGCCTGATGCTGCATTTAGCCCCAAAGGGCATCTGAAAGGATAGCCAGTACCCTCGGTCACTTGAAAGGTCAACTGTGCTCCAATCACGGGAGGCAAAGACTGCAAGATAGTAGCTCCACACCAGAGGACTCTGCAGATATTGTTGTTCAGTGACCAATGATGAGCTGATACAATGTGGTAATTGGAGTCAATAAAAAGCCACTTTACAATGAGGTGAGCAGAGATGCTGGTAGCCAAGGAGAGTTTTTAATTTCATTGCATTTAGTGGGAAAAACAACACTGTAATGAGAAACACTACGAGCTGGCTTGTCTCAGTTATAAACTTTTTTCCAGCAGGTTTGCTGCTATTTGTCAAAGTTAAGACAAAGAGCCATAAATAAGAATAAGCAACTGTTTGTTAACTCTTTCAACAAGGCGATGGTGTGTTTACAGCTTGTAACACAGCTTTAAAAAGACTCTATGCTATCCCACTTCAGATGTTCTTCTAGGAACCAAAGCGAAACTAAGGCTACTGGGGAAACCCAAGCCAAGACAATGAGAAGCTCCTTAAAGACCTTCACACTTTCCTTCAATGATCTCAGGGATTAAAAACATTATTCTATGAACCTAGTACAGGCTCCCTTGTTACCCTATTACCCTAAAGGTTCTTTAAGGAACTTGTTCTTTTTGGAAAGTGGTATGTTCCCAGCATGAAGAAGCAAATAGACTGTATGGTAAGAGCAAAGGAAGGACCAACTGTGTGTCTCTGTATATGCAGATGGTACAAGAGAAACACAGAAAAATAAAGCGGTCCACAAAGTTAAACTTTTTCCCTGCCTCTCACCTGACCCAATTACAGCACCTTGGTGGCTGCTAGAGCAACACTTTACCTTTGGAGTCCGACATGCTTTCAAATTCTTCAGTTATCCTCAACGCTGTGTTTTTTTTTAAAAATTCCTCTTTGTTTTGCTGCCTCAGTTGTAGCCCTCCGGGGACAGTGCTTGTTGAAGGAGTCGGAAGAGGGTTGTTCTTCCTTCGCTTTGGTTTGGTAAAGAGAATAAAAATAACTCCTGCCTGGCTTTCATTCACTACAGCTGTGAAGACATAATTTCACTGAGCAGTACAAGACTCTGAGTCCTGGGAAAGTCTGCTATGTGTGGAGTAAACAAGATCAGCTTTGACCCACACAAAAGTGAGAGCGATGATGTAACAGTTTGACAGTGGAATTGACATATGCTCATATTCAGTTTGATAAATATTGTGTCAGTGATACATCTTTAATGTACTTTACTCACAAAATATAACAATTAAACTATGATGCATTATAATTCAATAAAATATCCACCATTGTATAAGAATTAAAACCTCCTCCTTCAACAGACTAGCCTGGAAATCCTGGCCCTCACCGATACACCCTTCCTACCCAAGGGACGGCACTAACTGAGGCATATTAAATGCCGCCGCACGCAGTTGGATAGCACAATAGCCAATCAGAGCAAAAAACAAGGTGACAAATTCATTGCACTAAGCCCCATTTGTTTGCAGACCAGTGGGACTAACTGATATATTATGCTTTTTGCCGTATCCCGTCGGCAAAACGGCAAAAAACATCCTTCCTGGAAGCGAAGGCTTCTAGGGCAGTCTTCTGTTCCTTTCTCAAGGAAAAAGATAAGTGTAGTTGGCTTAGCGTTTCTTCCAAAGCTAAACTGAATGGATACGATCCTTTGGCAGCTGCCATCTTGGCTGTTTACTTTTTGACTCCTACGGCACAGGGCTGTCTTCATCATGTTACGCCCGCCCAGAGCCCACCTCTGTCAGATAGACTGATCTGATTGGTCCAACAGGCGATTCAGTAGGCTCTGCTTGTCAGGGCCAGATCCCCGTGCAGTGCAAATTCGAATTTGCTGGGGGCGGGCCATCTGGATTTCCAGGTTATCAACAGACTACATTATGCTAATAATACCTCTGCTGACTGCAGGACTTTGACTCTAACTTTTGCTGTACACTATTGAGAGTTTTATTTATGAATAAAGTTGTGAATACTTCTTCTACAGCTGCCAACAGCCTACCAACATCCAGAAAAGGTAAAAATAAAGCAGGGCAGTTTGTCTTGAGCCCCAGGCCCCCAGATCACTAAATCCACCCCTGGTAATAATTGGTACAAATTACCATTGTAATAATTCCTTCTTAAATCTGACTCAGACTGAAACCAAAGTACTCAGTAAAAGCCTAAAGAAGTCACTTTCCACCACTGAACATTTGACACTTTGTTAATTCAGACACTTTGAGGCTGTGAGGAAAAACTCTGCTCTTCGTCTGCCTCTCTCACTTTGGTGGTAGTATCCTTTTCAGACCATTGGGCAGACACAGAGCCATGTTTGAGACTGTTTCTGGATAAGGCAAAGTTTACACAACTGTGCGCTGCTCTTCAACAGAGGTGAAATACCTAAACTAACTGAAAACACTTTTGACCAGGCATATTAAGGGATAGTCCTAATGAAAAATACATAAAGCAGTTTCACATAAAAAAAGGTGTTTTTTCAGTGCTCTCATCTTCTAACTATGGTGGTAACTAAGGTGGTTCTAGAGCCAGTGTTTGGTTTATCCGTTCTGGGCAACTGTAGAAACATGGCGGTCCAACATGGCGATATCCATAGACGTAGCAAAAAAATTATGTCAAGCTCGCAAGGGATGAGTTTTTTTAAATGATCAGTTTAGATTCAGAAACAGCACAGGAATTAACAAGGTCTATTCAGTTCTGTTGAGACCGCCAAGCTGTATGTTTAGAGATGCAACAGCTGTTCACAGCCACTGTTGCCCAAGAGCTGAGGGCCACCAGCACAGCCACCAGAGGGTGAGTGACGTCACCTGCGAGCTCGCTTTGCATAAATAACAGTGCACGGGCCTCAGTTCTGTTTCCCATCAGGCACCATTCTCCTCTCCAGGTCTAAAGGGGCTTCCACGTCCTTCTGCAGAAACATCATTCCTCACACATGCAGACATAATGGTACCTTTTCACACATGCACGCACAAACTGGCAGTAATCAGCAGTGTTACCTAGAGGCCTGGTGGATGGAGGGGTTTGCCAGCAGAGGCCCCAAATCTGAGATAATCTGTGTCATTCATATTCTGTTGCCTGACACAAATGATCTGATAATGTACATGTGAAGTGAATTAACATCTGTTGTTTGAATGGGCCTAATGTCTAGCCATTCATCAATTTTACAGCATTATGTTGTTGACCAGAGGTGTGTGTGTGTGTGTGTGTGTGAGATGCCCTGGTTTCATTTTCCATCTTATAAGAAACACACACACATGGGGAGGATATGGAGGCCATACACACACATATCAATAAAAGCTTTATTTCCACTAAGGTAACTTGTAATCAAAGGTCAGGCTGTATATTTCAGTCAATAGATCTCACAAATGCGATGCCTCTCCTTGAGGGCCGAGCTCTGAAATCCACTTCACGTGTCCATTGAAGGACTCTCAGCATTAATACAATGTATTTCACTGCTGTGAATGTGAACTCTTTAGCGGGCAAACTCTCCTGCAGCAAGGAGATTTTCAGTGTTCTTTGAAAAAGGACTTGGAGAAACACACAGGCTGCAATAAAATGCTGATGAGCTTTCCCATTCACCAACAATTGTATATGAGCAGTTTTCCAGGAGGTGAAAATGTACTTTTTATCAGACAGGAAAGTGATCCAGGGAAATGTATGACTTCCCCGAATGACAACTTCTTTTTTTTTTTTTTAATCATTGTAGGTCTCTTTTTAGCAGCACTTTCACGAGACTGGAGGACTGAAGAAAAAAAGAGAGGAGCGGAATAAGGGGGAGGAGGAAGCAAAAAAAAAACAGAAGGTGGTGTGAGTATAGCTGCTCATTCACACAAAAACACACACAGACAAAAACAACAAAAGTATTTAGAAGAAAATCTGCTCAATTCAATCAAGCTTAATTCTATTTTGATAATTGTGGGTGCTGGGCGTCTGGGCCCGGCTCAGCAGGGAAGCTGTGACTTGTGTATGAGCCTGACAATGAAGTTGGGTAACAACAGCTGCTGGATGGCGGGCGAGCTCATGTACCTCGACGCTCAAGTCTTGTCAGTCACATTTCCCCTAATTAACGAACATCTGCTTTCCATTTTCGGTTACACTGCATCGCCAGCTTGTCTCATATGAATCGCTGACTTCTGACCTCCCCCGAGGTAGGCACTCGCTGTCAGAAGTACCCGGCCAACGCCATCGACAATTTCTTTTTTTCTACTTTTTTTTCTACAGAGGCCTCAAGCTCACCACAGGGAGGAAGAGGAGGAGGTGGAGGCGAGTGGGTGGGTTCTAAACCCTCAGAGACTTCACCAATCATCCTCTGGGACGGCCGACACAGGAAGTGTTTGTGTTACGCTGCTATTGGTTCAAGCATCCTCCTGTGGCACCGGCCTGCCACTATCCGTGAAGGACCCAGAGTCCTCCTCCCATCTCCAGAGCTCTAACCTATTCCCAAACTAACCTGCTGAACAGGTGTGTGTGTGTGTGTGTGTGTGTGTGTGTGTGTTTGTGTTTGCCTTTCTGGAAAACAAGGCTGGGCTTGTAGGGGTTGTTGTGTTTTGTCTTTTCTGCCTGAAAACACATCACATGAACATTAGAAATAGCAGCAGCTGTTGACTTCATGCTCTCATAGATAAGTACAGTCGACTGCTTAGTGTGGCTCCAAAATGTTTGAGTCTATTGTTAATCTGAATCACCACAAACAGATTAACAATGGTGGAATGAACTTTAGTCTTATATCACCCCTGAGAAAAGTTCAGATAGCAAGAAAGAGAAAATGCACATGTATAAAAACTTACAGTGGGATAAACAGTGAGATCATAGTTTCGATTGAACCAACAGTGTCAGGTGTTGTCAGGTTGAATACATGTTTCTGTGAGTAAAACATTTTCTTTAAGTGTAGGTACAAAGAATCAAAATATAGCATTATTTTAAATCAGTGTATGTATTGTTAAATATTTTAGTTGGTTAGTTAGGCACTAGGTATCCTTCTGCATCTGCTGTTGACATTCTTGGATGCCGCAGCCAATGCCAGAATGTCATCAAAAGCATATGGTTGGGTTAAGGCAATTAAAGCATGCGGTTACGTTTAGAAAAAGAACATAATGGTTTGGCTCTGCATTCATGTGAGAAGTGAACTGGCGATGTATCATAACCAGTGTTGGGCAGTAACGCGTTATTAGTAACGTGTTACAGTAACGCCGTTAGTTTTGGCAGTAACTAATACTCTAACGTGTTAGTTTTTAAATTCAGTAACTCAATTACCGTTACCAAATGGTGCGTTACTCTGTTATTTTTGGCCAGGTTTTAAAACGGCGCGCAGCATGCACTATTCCTTCACAAACTAAAGTTCGCTTTCACTAAAACATTTTAGCCCTAAACAATAAAAGACAGTCAAGTCAGATAGAGGTATGTGAACAATTCTTACCAGAGCGTCTTAATGAAACACGTCTCTCCCCATCTCTAAAGTCACTGTCAACCTGCTAGCGTCACCACAGTGCTGTAACGTTACATTAAGCAGTAGCGCTTCTGTAGATTTTTAGTCCCAGTAACGTTATATCCAGTGACGTGATATCCATTGTTATTCCGAGGAAGTTTTGTTGTGGACAGACAATGTCTGCGGTGGGCGACAGACTCGACATCATCATGTAGCTCTTCAAATGTTCTCTTTAGCTCATTTTCCATATTTGTATCCAAGTACCATAGTTGTAAAACGTTTAGCTGCCTGACAGCGAGTGACTCTACTGTAGAAGACAGTTGCATGTTTCCCATACCGTTCAATTGTTTTGTCAAGTTGTAGTCTAACAGTCCCTTGGTTAAACTCCATCCACTGTTGCTTAGGCGATGTAGCTACAAGCCAGCACAGTTAGGAAATGTTTTGGGCTGCAGGGCTGAGTTTCCCAAAACATGATAATTCTTAGCAACGTTGTCTTCTTTGTGGCTTAGAAAAACT